TATTATCAGCAGGAGAAAAAAAACTTTTGTAGTGATAATCAGGATGGCCCATTTCAAACAGTTGACAAGAAGGTATGAGTAACAGTAGGGGGAAAATTAGCATGGGGAAATAGTTTTTACTTTGTGTAATTACCAGGGCCGGCGCAACCCATTAGGCGACCTAGGCGGTTGCCTAGGGCACTAACATTTGGGGGGCGGCGACAGAATCTTCCGCTGCCTCCGTCGGGGGCGGCATTTCGGGAGCGGGACCTTCCGCCGCCTAGGGCGGCAAAAAAGCTGGCAGCGCGACTCATCTACTCCCAGTCTTTATTCAAGCCTAATTTAATGGTTCAAATTAATTCCAGTTCTGCAGTTTCTTCTTAGAGTCTGTTTTTGAAGTTTTTTTGTTGAATAATTGAAGTGGGCTTTAGCCCATGAAAGCTTACGCTCAAATAAATTTGTTAGTCTCTAAGGTGCCACCAGAACTCCTAGTTCTTTTTTCAGAAATGTTCGTAACTCAGAACAAAACATTACGGTTGTTCTTTCAAAAGTTTACAACTGCACATTGACTTAATACAGCTTTGAAACTTTACTATGACAGAAGAAAAATGCTCCTTTCCTTTTTTTTTAGTTCACATTTAACACTGTACAGTATTTGCTTTTTTTTATTTTTTGTCTCTGCTGCTGCCTGATTGTGTACTTCCAGTTCCAAATGAGGTGTGCTGTTGACTGGTCAGTTTGTAACTCTGGTGTTTCTAACTCTGAGGTTCTACCTTATTCCCAATACTGTAGCTGGGCCAATAATGGGTCATACAGTATTTATCTAGGGTTGCAGTGGGGGAAAGCCCTTGGATGGGAGGAAACCTGAATAGGCTTGTAAGACAGAATCACTGCTCTGAAGACTTAACAACAAACTGGATTTGGATGTGAAATGAAGGCATGAAACATGAGGGGGGAGGGGTACAACTACAAATAAAGAGAGCACTGGGAGGAAGAGGGGTGTCAACAGGGATTTGCAGGGCTGGGAGGTCGCATAGGCACAAGAGAAGCTGCATGATATGCAAGGCTGGGAGCAATATGGGGTTTGCAGGTGAAATCCTGGGAACATCGGGGTTTTGAAATGAAAAATGAAAGTGGAAGAAGATGTTCACAAAAGATCCCAAGCAGGGCTATAGAGGGATTTGCAAAGCTGGAAGCAGGCCTACTGTGATGGTTCTAGAGATAGGGGATGTGGTGGGAGGTTGCAGGACTGGGAACATCCATGAGGTTTGCAAAGAATACTGGAGAGGGCTAAAAAACTCAATGGAGTTTGCAGGTGGCTTCTGGAAATCATGGAGCAGGAAGAAAGGCAGAGTAGAGTTTGTAGCCCCCCTAATCAGGAGGCTGTGGGTGGGCAGTTGCAGGGGATCCTGAGGGGAGAGGAAGGACTGTGAGGGGGATTCAGGGACTGCGGGAGAGAGAGATGCGAGATCCTCAGGAGGAGGAGGAAGGCTACAGGGGGGAGTTTTTGCAGGGGATAAGGGAGGAGGGCTGTAGGGGTATGTTTGCAGGAGATCTGGGCAGACAACAAGGAGGGCTGTGGGAGGGTAGCAGGGGAGATGGAGTTGCAGGGGATGGGGGAGTTGCAGGAAATCCCAGGGGGGAGTGACAAGCAGGAGGGTGTGTGGCAGGTGATGGGGGGGGGGGTTCAGGAGATCTGTGATGGGCAACTAGTGGGGGGAGTTGTATAGAATCTGGTGGTGGGGGGCTGTTACAGGGGATCTTGGACAGGGCAGTGCAGGGGATCCAAGAGGTTGACAGGGGGAGGCTGCAGGGGATTTGGGGGGGGGTGCATGCCAGGAGGTTTGCAGGAGATCAGGAGTAGCAGGAATTTTGCAGAGGGGGATTTACGGGTGATTTAGGAGGGACTAAGCAGTAGGAAGGAGGATGTTGCAGGGAACCCAGCAGGGAGGGGGTCCAGAGGGTTGGATTTTCAGGGGATTTGGGATCCCAGGGAGGTTGCAGAACAGGGCAGCACAGACGGTCCAGGGGCTGTTGCAAAGGATCTGGAGAGAAATTGGGGGCGGGAGTTGCAGAGAACCCCAGAGGAAGGTCTGCAGGACAGGGAAATGGATGGGAGAGGGATTTGAGGGGGATCCCAGAGGATGGTATCCAGGAGGAGGTGGGGGTGGGGGACGGGAGGACTGGGTAGTGCAGGGGATCCAAGGGGTAGGGAGTAGCAGGAGAGGATTCTGGGGGTGCAATGAGGGATGTTGCAGGAAATTCGGGAGGGGGGCAGTTTGCAGGACTGGGTGCAGAGGATCCGTTGGGGGGGGGAAGGAGCAGCGAGGGGCTTACAAGGGATTTGGGGTGGGGGATGGAGGACGAGGTGATACAGGGGATGGGGGAGGGGGAGCAGCAGGGGATTCGGGGGGGGGGAGAGATTTACAGGACAAGGCACACAGGGGATAGGTGATGGGGAGGAGAGGAGCAGGAGGGGATCCGAGGGGGGAGGAGATTTACAGGACAAGGCAGTGCAGGGGATCGGAGGGGGGGAGCAGAGGAGCAGGAGGGGTTGCAGAACACAGCGGTGTAGCGAATCCAACCGGGGAGAAGCAGCAGAGACGCTTCCAGGGAGAGCAGCGGGGGTGTTGCCGTGCATGGGTCAAGAACCGAAGACGATGTGGCAAGGGAACCCTACCTTTCCCAGGTCCCCTTCTGCACTTTGGGGGTGCGCCCCATTTCCCAACCCCCACCTCATGGGGTCCAGAGACGGGCATTGCAACTTCGGGTCGCGATTGGCCCGCTGCCCCGCCCGTCAGGCTGAAGCGCCACCCTAATGCGCTTCAGGAGCACTCTCCGAGACACCCCACGCCCGTTGGTCCGCCGCGCCATCAGTCAAAGCGGAAGGCACCGCCCCTTCCCTAATACGGCTGTCTCATTGGCGGAGAAGGCTGTGGCTCACAGCTACCGCGCCTTCCCTCTTCTGCGCAGCTGGCACTGGAGCATTGTGCTGCCAGTCATACTACCTTAACCCCGCCCCCACCCGTCCATTGGCCAGCTAGCCTGTACATCAGATGTCGCGGGCCCGCCCCCTAACCCCTTTCATTCTATACAATGAGCCCCTATTCCCCCCGGGGTCCTCCCGCCCGAACAAACCGATGCCCTAACTCAGCAAGCCTCCCGCCCACCGGGTACCTGGGTACGAAGCGGGTCCGGCACGGCACCGACTCCCCCTTCTCGCAGGCCCTCGGAGCAGAGGCCGCTTCTGCGCAACGCCCGCCGCCCGCCAAAACAGCCCCCCCAGCGCGCAGGCGCCTGGGTCCCTGCACTGCGCATGCGCGGCCAATGCGCTCCCTCCCCCCTTCGTGTACATATGGGAATTCTCTTGGGTTTATCCGGCGCATGCGCAGTTGAGCACTTGCTGGCTCCTGCGTCTTTATTCTTCTTTCCGTGATGCTGCCAGGCAGGAGCCCAGGTCCGGACTGTTTCACAGGGTTAATGCTCGCGGGCTAGGGCTAGTGACACAAATCAGATCATTTAATTATTTCCCCCACAGTAATCGACACTCCCACCTCACCGAATAATTGACAATATAGCCCGCCAGTCAAATCTCAACGTTTGGCAGCAGCATCCAAACATTGGGAAGTTTAGAGCGTGATTGTCCATCAACGAACCAATCAGAGATGAGATACAGTCTCTCGCGAGTGGAGCGAGAAAGACAGTGGGGGGGGGAAGCATGGACACCCAATGAGAGACGTTAATAGGCGGGGCTTCGGCCATCTTAGCCAGTAGACTGCTGCAGTGGGGTAGTGCAAGGATCTCCTCTACCAATGAGATGTGTTTGCGGGTCGTGACTATCCAATCGGATGTGTGGGGGCGTGACCCGACCCCTCTGTCCAATGGGAGCACGCGGAGGGCGGAGCACTAAGAGGGGGCGGTGGAGTGAGGCAGCGACGCATTCGTCATTCAGCCCTTTCTGTATCGGCGCCTCACGGAGGAAGCATCGCGCGCGCAGCCGTCCGAGACAGAGGCCTGCACCCCCCCCCACCCGCCGCCATGTCCAAGTCCGAGGTGAGCTAGGCCCAGGGACTCTAGCCGCCATCTTCTCCACGCGGCCCTCCCCTGGCTCTGATGCTCCGGAGCCTTCGGCATGCTTCGGCGGCTCCTTCCTGCTCCGGGGGCCTCTTAGACTTCGGTCTAACCTGCAAGGCCCCTGCTTGCGCCCGCGGCGGTCCGCGTACTGCGCGTGCGCGGCCCTTCTCTCACCCCATAGGGGCGGCCCTTTCGCGCATGCGCGGCGGGGACTAGTCTCTGGGTGTGGGTGCTCCTCGCGCGTGCGCCGGCCTTTGTGCAGCACTGGATCGGAGCTATGGCGGCCGGCCGAGCGGCGCGTGGCGGACATCGTGTGCGTGTCTGCTCGGCTCGCCCTTTCCCCACGCTAGGCGCCTGGGCTGTGCGGGATGCAAGGCCTCGGGGTGGGGGGCAGGCCCGGGGATCTGTACACCGGGGGAGGAGGTGGGCTGTTGCCCTTTTTCTCAGGGCTCAGAATCAGTAGCTGTGGTTCGCCTGGAAGCCATTGTGTAGTGGGGATCGCTTCTCCCTCTTATCTTGTCTCTCTTCTTCACCCCCCCCGGTCAGGTTATTATAATCTTCTTGAGGGGGAAGGGAATTCCTGCTCCCCAGGTCTAGTGCTCCCTTGGGTGGGAGAGAACGGGTATTGTTAGCTCCAGGAGGCTGTTTAATCCTGTTTCCAACTCATGGCTTGTTCTTCCTCTCTAGTCCCCTAAGGAACCTGAGCAGCTGCGCAAGCTCTTCATCGGTGGCCTGAGCTTCGAGACAACAGATGAGAGCCTTCGTGGCCACTTCGAGCAATGGGGCACACTCACCGATTGCGTGGTGAGTGTCCTGGTCCCAAGGCCATCTCCGAAGCACTCTAGGGCTTCTTTTCTTGGGCAGGGCAGCTGTGTTACAATAGCTTAGTAGCCTTCAAAAATACTTCTTGCCAAATGGAGTAAAAATGTTTCCTTGCGAGGAGTGGGAAGGGAGCAAATAAACTTGTATGTATTTGATATTAAAACTCAGAAATGGGTGAAGGAATCTCATTCTTTGGCTATGCTGGTTTTTGATGCAGTGGGGCGAGATGAAGAATTTTGTTTTTACTTACCAGTTAAGAGTCCTTAAATCACTATTCCTAGATAGTGGAATATTATATAGTAGGTCTAGTTGCATACTTAGTGTTGATCTAAAGGGTTCATTGAACATAAAAATGGTCATATAGGGTTAGACTGATGGTCCATCTAGCCCAGTATGCTGTCTTCCAACAGTGGCTGATATCAAATGCTAGTTTAGCGGGAATTAACAGAACAGGGCAATTATCAAGTGATCCATTCTGTCATCTAGTCCCAGATCCTGGCATTCAGAAGTTTTCAGTAACTTGTAGTACAAGGCCAATGCTAGATAATAACCTTGTATGTTCCTTTGTTCTCATCTGTATGCCACTTCGTTTGTTTCACGTTATTTACTTTGGTCACTAATAGAGATGTGTCATTTCTAGGTAATGAGAGATCCAAATACCAAGCGGTCCAGGGGCTTTGGGTTTGTTACATACTCTACAGTAGAAGAGGTTGATGCTGCCATGAATGCTAGACCGCACAAAGTTGATGGCAGAGTTGTTGAACCAAAGAGGGCCGTATCCAGAGAGGTATGAATTGATGTTTAATCTAATCATGATGTTTCTGTAGACTTAAATGGGCTGTTCACGCACGGGTGATATGGTGTTAAATGGTCCTGTGTGGTTGTGTAGGGAGTGGGGTGAGGTTGAGAGTATGGTTTGGCTATAATCAAAGGTTTAAACTGTGAAGAATAGCTCCCCTCCTCTTCAAGGGTTGGGGGAGCCGCACTCCCCCACACACAAAGCTCCCCCTACGTTAATCACGCTGGCAGTAACTGCCAATGCACTGATGCCAGCCAAAACGTGCCCCCCAAAAAAAGACATTAGTCAATGGCATAGATCAGGGGTGGGCAAACTATGGCCCGTGGGGCGATTTAATCCGGCCCTCAAGCTCCAGCTGGGGAGTGGGGTCAGGGGCCACTCTACGTGCAAGTGCCGTGGCTCCTGGAAGCTGCCGGCATGTCTCTCTTCCAGCTCCTACACTAGGGCAGTTAGGGGGCTCCATGCACTGCCCCCGCCCCAAGTGCTGTCCCTGCAGCTCCCATTGGCCGGGAACTGTGACCAATGGGAGATGCAGGGCGGTGCTGCTCTGCCTCCACGTAGAAGCCAGAGGGGGGACATGCCACTGCTTCCAGGAGCTTCTTGAGGTAAGGGCTGCCTAGAGCCTGCACCCCGAGTCCTTCCCATGCACCTGCCCTGATCCTCCTCCTGCCCTCCGAACCCCTCAATCCCAGCCCAGAGCACCCTCCTGCACCCCACACCTTCAGTCCCATTCTGGAGCCCACACCTCCAGCCAGATCCCTCATCCCCCGCACCCTGGCCCGGAGCACCCCTGCACCCTGGACCCCTCATTTCTGGCCCCACCCCAGAGCTCTCACCCCTCCTTCATTCCAACCATCCCTGGGGATAGATGGTACTGAAATTCTTAAAGCAGAACCATGCCATTAGTCACTCGCTACAATTGATTGTGAAGGGGGACAAAATGTCATCTGTGCACTAGCCTTTAACTTCTATTTGCAGTTGTAGTGCACAACTACCACAATTTTGCATATTGGCTTTCTTTGTTTGAGCCATGAGAGCCTTGAAGTTCAGACCAGTGTTTGAGGAGTCCTAAATTTGTACATCTCAGATAATACTTCATATTGCCCTATTCTATCCTGCATAGGATTCTCAGAGGCCTGGAGCTCACCTGACAGTGAAGAAAATCTTTGTTGGTGGGATTAAGGAAGACACAGAGGAGCACCACCTGAGAGACTACTTTGAACAGTATGGCAAAATTGAAGTGATTGAGATCATGACAGACCGTGGCAGTGGCAAGAAGAGAGGCTTTGCGTTCGTCACCTTTGATGACCACGACTCTGTGGACAAGATTGTTAGTAAGTATCCCAGCGAGCCTATTACGCAAAGCTCTGCAAACCAGCAAAGAATTGATAGTATTTGAAAGGGAATTGTCCTTCGCTTAAAATCAGGGTGCAGGTGTGGATGTAACAGTTAATGACAACCTAGTAATGTCTGATTCTTCCCTTTCAGTTCAGAAATATCACACTGTGAATGGCCACAACTGCGAAGTGAGGAAAGCACTGTCGAAGCAAGAAATGGCCAGCGCTTCATCCAGCCAAAGAGGTGAGTGCCAGTTTCTATAAATCAGTTTGAAATGAATCCAAATGGACCCCTGATAATTAGCTGTGCAATTCACAAACACTGCTCTCTCTTCTAGGTCGTAGTGGCTCTGGGAACTTCAGTGGTGGCGGCCGTGGAGGTGGATTTGGTGGAAATGACAACTTTAACCGTGGCAGCAACTTCAGTGGTCGTGGTAAGTGACTTGAGCGGTCATTCTGACTAAAATTAAAATGATACTGTCAGGCTAACAAAACTAAAGTTTTAGCCCATAGGTTAACACACCTGCTGCTGCAGTTCTGGCTATTGATTTTACTTGTTGATTTGGACATTGGACTAAGTGCAATTCTCCTTTTTTTGGCTCTTGCATTCTAACATGGTACAAGGGCTCATTCAGGCAGAGCTTGGAATCCCTGATTCCCTGCAACAATCTCCATCAATTTATACAGCTGCTTCATTCTGTAAAACTGGCTTACAAAAACGTGTGCCCTGGGCGCCAGCACCTGACAGTGTCCCTTCCCGGATAGACTGAACACAAAGGTTTGTTCTTTTCAGGTGGGTTTGGTGGCAGCCGCGGTGGTGGCTATGGAGGCAGTGGAGACGGCTATAATGGATTTAGCAATGAGGGTAAGGCCAAAGCATAACTTTACTGACATGTCAGCGCCCAGGTTGCCTTGTTTCCGGGCTCAAAGGTGCTACGCCCATGAAGAAGCACTGGTGACGTGAGGAAAGTGACTAAACTCCAATCCCTTGGCCTGGCGGAAAGACTGATACAAACTGACTACAGCATGGACCCAACTGGATCCATCCAGATAGAATAATTATTGTTAAGCATGTCACATTGATTGGTTACAAATTTTCTATACAAATATATTGATTTACCAAAGTGCATGCTGTGATCAGTTCTTCGGGGAGTTTCTAATTCCATCAGTGAACTGTGGGTTGTGAAATGCTGGAATTCAGCAGTCTTGTTTTTATTTTGTAGGTTACGGTGGTGGCGGTGGTGGCCCCAGCTACTCTGGAGGAAGCAGAGGCTACGGTGGCAGTGGCAACTATGATGGCTATAACAACGGAGGTGGTGGCTTTGGCAGTGGCAGTGGAGGTAAGTATCCCCTCAGTGTCACTAGGGGACCTTGCTCAGAAGTGGACTATTTGGCTTTCAAACAGCAATGCCAGTTCTTTCTGCTGTGCTACAATTTCATGGCAAAAGCCTTTATTACTAGTAGACCGACATGGGACGTAATTTCCTACGCTATCTCAACCTCCCCATTACTACATGGTATGTTGCACCTCCTGAGAAGAGAACATCCTCACTCTGGAGACTGCCCTTGAGTTCTCAAAACTGCTGCAAAAACTGCCCTTCAGCCAGATGCCTTGTAGAGTGTACTATTGCTGAGAAGGGCAGGCTGTGATTTGGAATGCCTATCGCTTGTTCCACTCCTTAGGAAGCAGCTTTGGAGGTGGCGGAAACTACAATGACTTTGGCAGTTACAACAACCAATCTTCAAACTTTGGCCCTATGAAAGGAGGGAACTTCGGAGGCAGGAGCTCTGGTCCATACAGCAGTGGTGGTGAGTCTCAGAATGAGGGGTCTGTCCTTTGTAAAGGGGGGGGGGAGTAGGTGTGAGGGAAGCCAAAGCCAATACCATGATGCCACACTTGTGATACAAGTTTGAAATCTACCTGCCTAGTGTCTACAATTATCTAGTTTTAACCACAGGAGCAGTCACTAGCCCACAGTTAAAAAGCTTTCCTCCTGACATGAAAATCCTTGTCCATTTAACCTCACACAGGCTTAACTTGTTGTGATCGTAGTAAATCAGAAGTAATTCTAATTGAATATCCAACAGGAACAAACTCATGCTTCAGAATATGCTTAATTGCAGACAGTCAAACATGCAGTTGGGATCAAATGCAGTCCTTTGCAATTGTGGCTTACCTGAATCTAATGCACTGCCCAACCTTGCTGTCAGGTTTGCCAAACCCTCAGTCTTTGTGTTTGCTATAACATGGGGGGGTCAGGGCCCCTCAGGTGGTTACGATGTTACTACATGGAGGGTTGTAAGCTGTCAGCCTCCACCCCAAACCCCGCTTTGCCGCCAGCATTTATAATGGTGTTAAATATATAAAAAGTGTTTTTAATTTATAGGGGGGGTCGCACTCGGAGGCTTGCTATCTGAAAGGGGTCACCAGAACAAAAGTTTGAGAACCACTGCTATAACGCCATCTCCAATTGCTCTCTCAGGTGGCTACGGTGGCTCCAGTAGTGGCGGTAGTTATGGAGGTGGGAGAAGGTTTTAACTACCAGGTAAGCATCTGGACATTGCACCTCTCAGTCAAACGTATCATGCTAGTGAATCAGTAATAGTAACTAATGTAGCTGAGCAAGTACCCAGTAAAAAGACTTAATTTCAGTAAAATGTGGATGTTTAAGCTAATGTTCAGATCAGCTGTCTGTGGGAACGAACTTGCTATTGGATTGTAGCCTTGAGTCTCAATATGTTTAGATTAACAACTTTATTCCATATTATTCAACAGGAAACAAAGCTTAGCAGGAGAGGAGAGCCAGAGAAGGGACAGGGAAGCGACAGGTTACAACAGTTGTGAACTCAGCCAAACACAGTTGTGGCAGGGTGTAGCTGCTACATGAAGACATGTGTTAGACAAACTCTCCTTTGCAAACATAAGGACTGTATTTGTGACTAATTGTATAACAGGTTATTTTAGTTTCTGTTCTGTGGAAAGTGCAAAGCATTCCAATAAGGGTTTTTATGTAGAATTTATTTTATTTTTTTCCGCACCCATGCTGTTGATTGCTAATTGTAATAGACTGATCATGACGCTGAATAAATGTGTCTTTTTTTTAAATGTGCTGTGTAAGTTAGTCTGATATAAGTCAATTGAATGCCATTCTAGCTATATGAATGCTGCAGTACCTGCATGTAACTAGACCAGGTATACCTCAGCAATAGTCCACTGCAGTGTCACTGGGCAGGAACAGTCGTTTGTGGGCAATGTCAGGACTCCTGAGCTGAGTCCTGAATATTAATGCCAGAGGCTGTGTATTAGCAACTTCACAGCTGTAACCACCAATGGAATCTGTAGATTTAGTTGTGCTGCCTCTGTGTAACCCTTGTAGACAGGACTTGGGTATCCTGTACTTCAGTTGCCACAGATGCAGCTGTTGGTGAATTACAGCTGCAAAGTCTGCTAGTGTAGATGGGTCCAGAGACTGTCTTACAGCAAACAAAAGGGGCTAATTCCTCGCATGGTGCATATACCCATGTAAATCCTTTCTCATCAAACAAGATTAACTTGCCTGGACAAGGTATATCAGGATTCTGCTCTATACAAGAGCAAAAGTCAGTTGATGTTGAGTAGCTAGGGCTGTAAACTGAAGTGTAATGGACTAGTCCCTGCCAGCCAAAATTTCCCATAAAACTGTCCCTGGGCTATCTCACAAAGTTAGGGGGATTAACTCTCATTGGCATGGATCTTCTGTCCAGTTAACCAAATCCTACTGGCTGGCAGAGTTTGGAACTAAAGCTCCTTTTCAACTTTTGGAAAAGGAAGAGCAATTTTAAAACTCAGCTCTAGCAGTGGGGGGGGGGAGGGGGCTAGCTCTGCTGAGAACCACACCCCAAATTCACAGCAAGCGGCAGGAGATACTAATGGAGACCAGTCTAGTTGGCCATGAAATCTTACCTGTTATGATAAAGGAAAGCTGAGTTGATCCAGGGTTACTTTGAAAGCAAGCTGCACTTTTGTTTCTCGCAAAGCTATCCAGCTCAGATGCCTATGTTAAATGTTTCCACCAGCTAGACTGTGGCATCGGGACCATAAATGTGGTAGAATCGTGACACTGGATGGGCTTGGGCCTCGTGCTGGGAAAGTTGCACTGCATTTTTCTTTAACACAAGTGCTCAGCAAAAGGGTTGATTCTCAAAGCTGGCAGCTGTATTTGAGAAACAGTTGCAGTTTCTCAGACTGCTGAAATCAGACTCTAATCTCTGCCTCTTCTAAGCACTGACTGGGTTCTGCAGAAGTTGTCTGAACGAACGGTCGCCTCTTGATATCTGAGGCATTTTCTGACTGATGCAGTGTGATTCCATTGCCGTTTTAAACCTGTGTATAAACATAGACATCCAACTGCTGTAACTGAATCTCCCTCTTTTTTAAACTGGTTGGTAACTAACAGTGCCTCAGCCTGTTTTAAAGGGGAACTGCAGAGGAAGAAACTGACCTTAGGCGATAGCCCCAAAATTTAAACAAGCTTCTACTGCTCCTCATTAGGAATATCAGATCTTTGCTGGCATGTGTAAGAGAGGGCTGGAGATGAGGTGGGATGAACAAGCCCTGTAATTTGAGGAACATTTAAAATCTTACTGCCTGTGTTAAAGGTTTAAATTCCAACTGCTGAAGTAGTTGGGATAAAAACTCTGAACTGGCACCCCCTTCTGTTCTGAGCCTCCAACGCAGTGAAGACCTGAGCTTTCTAATGTAAATGAATATAAAATCTCCGTTCTGCAGTTGCCCTCTAATGCAGACGAGTGCTGCTGCTGCTTCCTACAGCTGCCTAAAATTATAGCTTTAGTTTCCTTCCGTTTGCTGCGTTGCAGATCACGGGAGTTATTGAGAGCTCTCAGTTCTTATTTTTCTGGTATTTCAAATCAGAAGGCATTCACTTGTGATCTCAATTCTCTGATAAAGAGCAACTTAGCCCCATGGTAACTGTTTGAAGCAGGCCTGTCTCTAAATCATGTTGGCATATTTCTAACAGATCTCTTAAGCTGAATGATTATGAAGTGTATTAATGTGGAATGCAAAAAAAAAAAAGTTTTAGTTCCATTGGGTTTTATGTGGCTGAGTTTGCAATAGCAGGTGGATCCTAAACTTATTGAGGGAGACAAGAGACCTCAGGATTCATGGAGTATACTCTTGGCAATGGCTTGATAACGTTGAGGACATGGTAGCATACCACAACAGAGGAAGGCACTCCAGGAGCCAAGAACTAAGTAGCTTAAAGATCCAGGAGACATGCAGATGTTGAGCTACTAGGAGCTGCTAGCAAGCATAGCACGAATGGCTTCGAGTTCAGACACTTCTACAGCTGAGAGAGAGTAGACACTTGTGTGTGGAGTCCAGTGTACACAGATAAGCCAGGTGCAGGCTCTGCACTCTAGGAGGGAGTGGAGTATCAGTGACCATCGAAGGAGGCAGACAAGAGTAAAGATCCTTGCTCTTAGGACTAGCAGTCAGATCCAGAAGGCAAGGTTTTATTACTGTGCTTGTAGGTAAGAACAGATTTTACTTATGTCCGTATGGTTTTGCCTGAAATTAATTTGTCAAGTACTTTGCTAAAGCTTTGTGTAATGAACCCAAGTAGTCAGGCTAGCTGTCTTGAAATCTATAAGATGGGCTTCTTTTTAAACTCGCCCGGTGCTGTAAGTGCAAGCACCAGATGGCTGGAATATAGTGACTTGAAATTACGCCAACCTATTTGTGGCACGCTCATTCTCAAGTCACTGCCTCTCATTCTATTGCCATTATTATT